CCCTTAGTCCTACATCCATACAATTCCTCACATATCGTATATTACTATCTGCATTATCTTACTCCCGTAACTATACTTTCTCAATATCCCAACACCTACTTGTAGCCCCAATTATTCTAGATTCTGATAATTTTTAAATTTCAATGAGGACTATTGTACATTTCTGTTGGAGTTGAAAACCATACCCATAATTTAGACTTTCACGGAATATCATTGGATTGTGCCTCTTGCATCCTTAACTAGCTGACAAACTAGACATGGGTCTGCATGAAGACCAAACAAATCAAATCAATATCCACAGGGATCTAACCCCAGTCATTTAGACAATTGTACCTTTAGCATCCTTAAGAGACGGTAAGCAACACTTAGCCTAAGCCACAGTATAAATAAGTGTGGCGCTATCTAGGCATAGAAAACCCCCAATAACCTCCTCGCGCCCACGTCATACAGCCGCTCATGGAGGACGAAGGCTGAACACCTGTCAGTGGTGTCCTCTACGAACCTGGGAGTGAAATATTCTCCCAGAGCCGAGATTCAGTCACGAAAAAGGGTGGGATGATTTTTAATTGATGGATTCTCGACCTGAAGGAGTTGCACTCGATATTTTGGTCGAAAAATCAGTCGGCAGAGATTTCACAGCCGGAACAAAGTTGAACAAAAAGTCATCACCACCAACATACAATTCACGAATGGGCCTAGGTCTATCTGGGGGTCGTATTCAAACATCCGACATCTCTTAAACTCCTTTTATACTTGCGACGAAGCATGTCTCAATCTTGTCATAACTAGATAGCTGGATACAATATGATATAAAAATAAAATAAAAATAAAAAAAAGCATGTCTCAATCGATCCTACACCTGCGACCTACCTCCATACCCGTCCGATCACCTACCTACACATGCTCTAATGAGGAAAGTCATGATGGAAATGGGACGTGTACAAAGGAGGAAGAAGAGGGATGATGCACCGAGGGGATTACACAAATCCCCAATGACGAAAACAACGCAACGGTACGATATGAAGGTGCAAGGCTAGAGCAACGATGAGATCTTGGACGGCAATTATATTTCGGAGTCAATGAGGATGTCAAGGGCTCGGACGCGTGGTGGCCGAGGCTGAGGAAGAAATTGCGCTACGGCGTGTATACAGCGGGTTTCTGGACGGTTAGGCTTGGTATGATTCAACACATACGTGAAGTCTGAGGTGGTCCGGTCATTAAAGTGGGACGAGGTCTATCTGTACTTCACGGTAGTCAACCTGATCCGGCCCAACCCCACACGTGCTTAAGCTCCAATCGGAGTGCAACGGTAGTCATGTAACCTAGCACGTTAATGAACAAAACAAAAACACAGCTGCTCATGTCTCCAATAGGTAGCTTGAAGGGCTACCATGTTAACCATTCCAACCTCTTAAATACAAACAAGATTGTGTCGGGAACCTTGACAAAACGGAGGGCCCGTATGTCCACAACATTCTGTGTCTCCATTTCCAACATGCATCATCTTGAAAACTTGTCCTAATCCCTCTCACGTCCATCCCAAAGAACTGTCTCCCAGATTTGTGCGCCATGCTTTGCTTCCTTCTTCGCGTGTAAATATCGGCGTGGGCTTGTATTTGGCAATCAACGGAGGCCAGAGCAGGTCACAGAGAGGCGTGATAATTGGAATGAGGATGTAATAGGTCGTACCTGTAAGCGTGATAAGACTTACGTGTGAGTCGATCTTGCTAGGAGTGAAAGATTGCCATGGCGGAGTATTTTGCATTCTTGCTTCGTGTGCCAACTTGGTTAGTACTGTAAAATTTGACTGAACTTGGCTCTGGGAGAATATTTCATACCCAGGTTGGTAGAGGATACCGCGTACAAGTGTTCAGTCATTACCCTCCGTCTGCCAGCTTATCAGGGTAGTTTTATTAAAATATTTTTCATGGATAAACGTGGCGGAAACTAGGATGGTGTCTCATGGGGAGTTCCATTCTAAAACACAACTCGGGGTTAGATCAAGTTCTCAAACAATTAGGATAGGCTCAGGAACATAGGGTCGTTTCATAGGGATTGCGTAGTAATACTGTTCGAGACAGAGCTTAGGGCTGTCCTATTATCTGATGTACATATATACCCAGCGTGAAGGAGTATTCTTCTTCACGCAACGTCTTCTGTTTATACTCCTACCTATTGTTCACGTACTTATCTTTTCTCTAATGAAGACCGCCGTTATTGTACCCCTATCACCTACTACTTATTTTACCTTTACTTCTTCCGTGAACCCTATACCTAACGCTGAATTTATACCTCCTTGTGACGGAAACCGAGTTGGTGATGAATAAATCGATTTATTAAACTATATGAAGAGAAAAGAAATCTCTAGCTACTACTAACAGGTGCTTATAACGTTTGGTCCACTTCGTGAATCTGCTGACTGATAACTTCCCCCTAGGCCTAATACTTACTACCGAGCCAAGTATTATCAGGAACCATTACGCTACGATGTTGCTCCGACCTCCTGGCTAGTAGTGCCATTTCATCTCTATTTGCCCATCCTTTCTCTTTCAGTCTTATCGTAATTAGTCCTAATTAAACGCTTAGGTTTCCTCCTAAGCTAAAACAACGGTCGAACCGTGACAGCGTGCTACATGTTTTGTATTAGTCTGCTCCATCCTAACACTTTGTATACCCTACATTTTCCTTTATCACCGCTATTCATCTTTCGTGAATGTTAACCACACTTAACGGAGACTTCTTCCGAGCAATGCATCTGCTGTAACCCATTTTATTGAGGGCATTTGAAAGTTAATGCTCATTTCATCCCTGGTGGCTGAAGGGTCCCATTGCTAGTTCCAAATAGCACATCTGTCGATTTGAAGGAGATTCCCGGACGAAAGCCTCAAGCTCATCAACTTGTTCCACGCTTAATTTAGGTGAGCATCTTTGGCGAGGAATGGGATTCTCAGTCTCTCGAGCACACGTAAGTTGCACTTGCCTTCTGGAGAAGCCAAGTTCGTCGGATATATGTTGTAATGTCAAGCTAATATGGTTATATGTTATGGGGTATAATTGTGATACCTGAGGTGACGTGCTGGCTACAGCACGTGTGTGGGTTCTAAGAGATGCGATGAGTAACTCACGTAATAAATGGAGGAATAATGTAAGAGTAAGTGGATATATGAATACAGGTGTGTGTGTGTGAACTATGTATCCTACTAACTGCGAACTAGGGAAGAATAATGTATTCTGCGCTACAGTGGTCGAGCCAGTCTCTCGGTGCTCTTTCCTTACAATGTTGAGCCCAACATTATCGTGCGTACCCTTGACTGTCCACAGTAAGACTAGTGTGTTTCCATATCATAACACAAGCCAAGTCTTCTTATTATTCTTATTTCAATACATTGATCGCGAGTTAGATGCCTGCAAACTTTAGTTTCTGAAGCAGACTTTTCGTGAGACTATTTTTTTTGCATCAGATTTTAATTGCGTATGCAGCTATCTAGCTATGACACAATATCAAAAAAAAAGTACGGAAAAGATGACTCAATTTACGAGAGTAGCACTCATGCCTCAGGCTTCATTTGCAGGTATCACTGCGAAGTTATGATGACTTTTTCTTCACCCCAAGTCAACCCTCATCTGTGAATACCCACCCAGGGAAACGTCTCAAAAACCCTGAGTTATCCAGACATGCATCCATCATCCATCAACTTTCCTCCGCGCGAAATGTAATCTGAGATGTCTCATTCCCAAGTGGAGTAGGTGCCCAGACTACTCAAACTATACCAGAGAACATCACCAGGAGGCGGATCATAACATCTTCCATCGTCGGCTTGTTTTTATAGTGTCAGCTGCACTCTCGTGAGCGAAGTCTTGGCGCGCACAAAGCTCAATTCGTAAAACTTTTACCGACATTCGAAATTTCACGTCTGTCGAGAATGTATCCCTCCTCTACATCATCTTATAAACTTGTCCCGATCCCTCTCACTTCCATCCCAAAGAGCTATCTCCCAGATTTGTGCTCCACGCTTTGCTTCGTCCGTCGGGTATAAATATCGGCGTGGGCGTGTATTTGGTGACCGGCTGAGGCCAGAGAAAGTCGACGAGAGGTGTGGTCATTGAAACGAGGATGTACTAGGTCGTACCTGTAGACTTGATGAAGCTTAGTTGAGAATCGGACTCTTTGGGAGTGAAAGATTGACATGATGGAGTAATTTGAATCATTGCCTCGTGGGCCAACTTCTTTGATATTGCGAAATTTGACTGAACTTGGCTCTGGGAGAATGTTTCACTCCCAGGTTCGTAGAGGACACCGCGTACAGGTGTTCAGTCTTGCCCTCCACTCTATGACTCAAGTAGTACAATAAACATACCACTCTCTCACCTAATAGCCGCAGACTGGTTGGCGAGTCCGCTTGACACTGTAAGGTGTTTATCGCTGCGCCCGTACGACTTGCACCTTCGAATGGTAGAATCAATGAGCGTGTAATCTTTAAACCACTTGCTGTGCTAAGGCTCTAAATTCAAATCAAATAAATAATTTATAAATTTAATGCTCCTGCACTTGCTATTGCTTATCCTCAGCATCTAGCTGTTACCAGGCCAAATGCTGAGAATTATGTCATTACTGTTCCTGCGCATGGGCTGTTTGATTAACAAAATATAATGATCCCAACTGCAATCCCACATCATTACGGTGTCATGTCAAGACGTCAGATATTTATAGCCCAGCGCTGATACTTGATTTATGTGAGGACTACTCGGCCTCAAAGTGCCTAAATGAATCTTCTCCATTTTTCACAATATTGCGGAATTGTGCTTCAAAAATCTATTTTCTAACGAGATCAAAAGTCGATAACGACAAAAATTTTGGACGTGACCTGGCCCGACAATTGACAACTACATGCCAATCCAACGAATCCTCTTGCGTGCGCTGTAGGCTTTATCGACTCGTACCTCAACCCACACGCTATACTCATTAGACACGTCTATTACAAAAATCCCCCATTCAAGCAATGTACTGCTTCTACTTTTTTATTAAATTGGTCAAAATTATCGACAATCGTTTTATTTACAACTATAATTTCGTCTCAAATTTAGACTTATCTCCACTTCAATTTACCGGACACGCAACCCCCTATACATTAGACAGAAATACATTGATAACTAGATACAAAAGCATAAAGTTTAGTAATTTACCTTCCTTTATGTATGGAACTTCGTGGGGAAAGTACTGTTCCTCGTCAAGTATGGAACTTGATAACCTGTACAATTATTTTTCCGCAAAAGTCGTTGATATACAAATTAAACTGCAAAACATAGATCTGGATGATTCTCAACCGTATCAATACTGTGTCGATGAATTACAGACGGTATATCTCACAGAACCACACATAAGCATCTCAAAAGTCAGGGCTGGATACTGGCCTTCATGTTCGGTCAGGTTCCTGCTGAAATACATTGCTACAGAGAAGAAATCAGAAATAATGATTTCTACGGATGGAAGGCGTCAAAGGATAAGAAAACCAACTTTCATTATGGACTCAGCCGTTACAGTAGAGGAGTTGTTGGACTCGCCTTATTCTGCTCTGTCACTGAAAAGTGACTATCGCGAAAGTCACTTAGTCTATGTCTTTGGAAGTCTGAGAATTATTCAAAGACTAAATCCGAATGACGATTATGAATTATCATCAACCCTCGCAGAAGAATCGATTTCACAAGTCTATGAGATATTCAAATATGCCGATGAAAAGATACAGGATGCGAATAGTCTAGCTCTTCACGATATTAAAATTCGTATATTGTAGAAAATAAGAATATTCACACGCTACTGATACCTCTAACTTTGTGGTAAACATTAATACGCCATGTTGTATGGGGGCAAAGGGGAAGGGAAACGAAAGCCACTAATCAAAATCTGGCGATTCGGCCCATAATTATGTTTGAATTTCGCACCAGTTGCTTACTCTAGAACTACACAATTGTCGGTGATGATCGGCAAGGCTGCTTAGGAGTAACTTGGCGCACAATTGTACTAGACTGAAATTGGTTTTAGCGTCAGACAAAGAACACGAGTAATATGTAGAAACCCAGATGTACATTCTTTAACATTCTGACGAATAATATAATATAATAAGAACGATTTACGTGAATTATTTATTTGATTGAACTACTACGAAGTACTTTGAAGCTGTGCCTATATTCTTTGAGTGAGTTTCCTCTTAGAACTCATACACACTTTCCAACAGATTATGAGACCAAGTTAGCTACCAGACTACTTGAGTTAAATATATTACATCAAATAAATAAATCCGATTTTTAATATTATTATAAAATTCTTCCTTCGCCATGTCGGCCGCAGATATCCTCAAGTCTATGAAGTGTGCCCCAAAGCTATCAACTTTAACATACAATAGATGGAGTATTCATTTTCAAGATGCTTTGTCTTTATATGAAATCGATGATTACCTTCTGTGACGGCTGGTTCCTGTAGCCTATGTTGGCTAACATAGGCTTGGTCCGATTTAGGGTGCGCACGATCGATCGATCTAATATCGGAGCATCGGAATCTGCATAGCATCCGATTCAACAGTGCAGCTCAACATGGCACCACTTGTCGGTGAGAAGCGATCGGCTGAGAATATACGAGATCGGACACAACCTCCTCAATTGATAGTGCAATGACGTCGTAGAACATGAGGCTCTTTTGTATATATACATGTGTAGATAGATCTTGTAGTTGTTCTCTCCCTAGAATTATTATCTACTACCATCAACCACGTAGTTGCTCCAGCACCTGTCCTAGAATCCGTGACACCTTCTCGTCAATAAAATTACTGAAAGAGATTTAAATGCTAAGGATTCAACCATTTCAGACATCAGAAAGCAGGATAAAAATATTCGTGTTGCCATGTCTCAGCTCGTTCCCGACATTGTGTTCCGACTTGTTGGTCCTTCCTTGACAGCCAAACAATGCTGGGATAACTTTCTGGAGTTCTATTGTCCAAATTCGGGTGAAGATGTTGATGACTTGATGCAAGAGTTTTGGAATTTCGATATTGAAGACGGAGTGGATGTTAATGAGTTGGTACAAAAGTTGGCCGAGATTCGAGGTCGAGTGAACTTGATTGACGGTGTGTCACGGCACGGCATTCTGCTCCGCCATGATATACAATTACGTGGAGGGAGGATGTGAGACTGATGGCTGATGCAGGAAGGAGCACGGACGCGGCGATTTAGTGGAAACCCGCCCGAATAGGAATAGCCTCAGGGCTTTTTGTAATGAGATCCTGTTCTTTTCTATTCTTCTCCAGCTTAGTATTTGCTTCACAGATTGAATTATCGCCATACAAGCTGTACTTTCACTTGTGCCTATTCTACGCCGTGACATAATACTAAGCTCCCTAAACTACTCAACGCGACCTCTGTAGAGAGGTAAAATACTAATTTCAGACTCAGTAATCTGTGGACAGCGTTTCGCTCACGATTATCTGGACAGTCATTGGCTAATTGTCTCGCTAATAAAGGAAAGCAGAAGATGCCAGGAGAGTGGCCGAAGGAAGACTTCACAACCTCGGTGTACGCCACCCGCGCACCCGGGGAAGAGGAGGACCTCACTACGAAGATTGATGTTCCATGGTATCAGAAAGTCACTTTTGAATTGTTGGACAAGGATTACAACAAGAGAAACAAACGCCGCGCTGCTGAAGTCAAGAAGGAGACTGATCAAGAACGTCACGAACATACCCTTAAGACTATGTGTACCGCCCTGGCTGATCGCGCCAACAACATCAGCAACTACCTTCGAGATACATTGGAGCAGAAGGCAGAGGCAGAGAAAATGGCACAATCCTGGGCGGAGGAAGCTGAGCGCTGGAAGGCTGCATTCGCAGAGGTCACTCTAGATCTCAAGGCCAAGGATAAGGGTAAGCAGAAGGAGGAATCCAAGTCGGTGCGAGGATCTGCAGCCTATAACACTGTTGAGAAAGACGCTGCCGGCTGTGAGGCCTCAGATATACCACCAAGATACAAAGAGGTCCGTGACCCACAGGCTAAGCAACTCCGCCACCGCCAGAAGATTGAGAACCCACCCACCTTCATGGGTTCCCATAATCCTACTTTCGAGAACTGGGAACACGCTGTTAAACGCAAGTTGAACGGCGACTCGATCTACTTTGATGATGAAAACCACAAGATCAATTACCTCTTGGGCTTTATTGGTGGTGATGCACAGGAATTCATAAAACCCTACCTCGAGCCAGAAAGCGTCAACCACATCACTGTTGCGATGTCTATCGTCGAAGTTATGCGAGGAGCCTACGGCAAGACCCGAGGACAGAAGCGCTCCGAAGCTCGTGCCAACTTCAAGAAACTCCGACAAGGGGATGACAGCTTCTCAGCCTTCTTCACTAAGTTCCTGACCTTCGCTTCTCAATTGCAACTTAGAGACGAAGACCGCATGGATGAACTTCGCGAAAAGATGAGTCCCAAGTTGCAAAATGTCATAGCCGGATTGGATTTTGAATCTACCTTGGAGATGTCCCAACACTGCTTGAAAATAGAACCACACCTGCAATTAGCGCGCAAATCGGAGGATCAAGCCGCTCGCTACCAACAACGCAAGGACAGGTACAAGAAGCCAATTCTCCCGCCGGGCCTAACTCGTACTGCACCTCCAAGAGCGTCTGGTCCACCCAAGCCAAAAGTCTTGGCCCGAAACGCTGGTGTCTGCTTCCATTGCCACAAGACTGGTCACTACGCTAACGCGTGTCCTACTGCTAAAGTCAATGAGGTGGATGCGAAGAAGAAGGAGGAAGCTGAAGCATCTGGATCGGAATTCACCATGAGCTCCGATGAGGGAAAAGATTGTCTCTAGGAGAAGTCGCCTTCCTAGAGAATAACACGTATCGAGTAAATGGCATTGATTTGGAAAATTTGTTTGGCGGAAGGCCATTAGTTATAGATTGTACTCTTGAAACTAAAAACAATTCCCAATTTCCAATCTCTGCCCTCATTGATACCGGCGCTAATGGATATGCCTTCGCAGATCGTAAACAACTGCGTGATTGGTACCGAAATAGTAAGATTAAGATGACGCGCTACAATCTCCGTCATCCTCTCTCTATCAGAGGCTTCGACGGCGGATCATCCCGACCTCTACGCCATGCCTACGTGATGACACTGACTATAGACTCGCACCGAGTCAACATGCCATTCTTTGCTACCACACTTGGTAACAAGAACAATGTGATCCTCGGTCGGCAGTGGCTGGCCTATCATAACGTACTCCCAGATTGCGTGCGACACCGGCTGTGGTGGCCAGAAGACCGCAATGATCATCAGTGGGACGCTAACCGTCGTGACCGACTGATTGAACTGCCCCCTCTAGAAATCAACAAACCTCCTGCTAAAAGATCTCCACATTTTATGCCAAAGCAGATATTGAAACGCCCTGCAATGGTAGCAGAAGCGCCGGCGACCCCTTCAATTATTCTGACTCCCCGGCCTACACTGCAGGAGCGACAAGAAGCCTACGATAAGAAAAAGGAGGATCTAGGTCTAGACGAAATGGACACACCTACGCTTTCAGCCGTCGAGGTTGAGACAATTGAAGCGGAAGACCAATGCTGGTTCGTAGAAATGGAAACCGCTTGCGACGGTACAGAGATTGCGCACATTGCGGAGCTCGCTGAAGAAGAAGAGAAGACACAATTGTTGGCCCAATTACCTCCTGAATATCACGATCTTGCCCATGTCTTCTCCAAAAGACGCGCAAAGGAATTGCCGCCGCATAGGGAGTTCGACCATAAGATCAATCTGGATAGCGAGCCTGAGCTCAAGCAAGCTCCCCTCTATAAAATGAATCAGAAAGAGCTAGATACCGTACATGCTTACATCGAGGAGAACCTGGCGAACGGGTTCATCGAACCCAGCGATTCTCCGTTCAATTCCCCGGTCTTGTTTGTCAAGAAAAAGAATGGAGACCTTCGATTTTGTGTAGACTACCGGAAATTAAACGCACACACGCGGAAAGATCGCTATCCTCTGCCCCTCATTGGTGAGACATTAGCCAAGATGGCTGGTTCTAAGAAATTCACCATTCTAGATGTCATCCATGCGTTCAACCGTATCCGGATGCATCCAGACTCCGTGGGATGGACTACGTTTCGTACTCGATTCGGTCAATACCGTTACCGCGTGTTACCTTTTGGTCTGTCAGGTGGCCCGGCCACTTTCCAAAGATATATCAATTCGGTCCTAGGCGATCTGCTCGCTCGTTACGTTTCCGCATATATGGATGATGTATGCGTCCACTCTGAAGATAAAAGTAAACACGTGGCAGAAGTACGCGAGGTCCTTCAGCGTTTGGACAGGGCTGGACTGCAGGTGGATATTAAGAAGTGCCGCTTTAATCAAAAATCTGTTAATTTTCTGGGCTTCATTGTTAACACTTCCGGACTCCTGCCAGACCCGAAGAAGCTGGAAAGTATTCGCGCATGGGAGAGACCTACTAGCAAGACTGCCATTCAATCCTTCTTGGGGTTCTGCAACTATTACCGTAACTTTATAGAGAATTTCTCCCGGATCGCTAAGCCACTGTACAACCTGACAGCAATCCCAAAAGGCCAGTTGTTCCAATGGACCGAGCAAGCTGAAGAAGCGTTCCTTGCCCTGAAAGAGAAATTGGTCAGCCCACCCATTTTACTGTACTTCGATCAGAAGAAGCCTACACGTATAGAGACCGATTGTTCTGATCTAGCAACAGGAGGAGTACTCAGTCAATTGCAGGAGGAAGGCGTGTGGCATC